TCATTCTTTAATGACAGAGGCATTCTGCATGATTTCTCTTGTCCTAGAACTCCCCAACAAATTGGAGTTGTAGAACGAAAGAACAGAACATTGCAAGAAATGGCCAGAACCATGATCAATGAGACAAACATTGCTAAGATCTTCTGGGCAGAGGAAATAAACACAGCGTGCTACATTCATAATAGAATCTCAATAAGACCTATTCTGGAAAAGACTCCATATGAATTATGGAAGAACAGAAAGCCCAACATTTCATATTTTCATCCATTTGGATGTACCTGTTTTATGTTAAATACAAAGAATTATTTGAACAAGTTTGAGTCTAAAGCACATAAGTGTATTATGTTAGGTAACTCTGAACGCTCAAGAGGGTACATAGTATACAATACAGAAACACAGATTGTGGAAGAATCAATCAGGGTTCGTTTTGATGATAAGCTTGACTCTGAAAAGTCAAAGCAGAATGAAGTTTTTGCAGGTATGGAAATTGAATTTACAGGTTCTGAAGACAAGTCATCAGAAGCTCTCAACACAGACACTCCTTCAATGTCTGAAAGGAGCACTGCTAGAAATCCTACAACAGCTGCTGATCAACCTCAGAAGAGATTACCCAGAAGCAGCTTGGATCACCCAGAAAAGACTATCTTAAGAAGAATGGAAGATCCAATCAGAACAAGAGCAAGCTTCAGAAACTCTGAAGAAACCCTCATGGGACTTGTGTCTCTGATTGAACCTTCCTCTATTGATGAAGCACTTCTGGATAATGACTGGATTCTGGCAATGCAAGAAGAGCTGAATCAATTCACCAGAAATGACATATGGGATCTTGTTCTCAGACCAAAAGGATTCAACGTCATTGGAACAAGATGGGTGTTCAGAAACAAGCTAAATGAACAAGGTTAAGTCATCAGAAACAAAGCACGACTGGTTGCACAAGGTTATAGTCAGCAAGAGGGGATAGACTATACAGAAACCTTTGCCCCAGTTGCCAGGTTAGAATCTATCAGGCTTTTAATTTCATTTGCTGTTAATAGAGGCATCACTCTGTATCAGATGGATGTCAAGAGTGCATTCTGAAATGGTTATATAGAAGAAGAGGTTTATGTGAACCAACCCCCTGGTTTTGAAAATACAAAACATCCAGAACATGTTTTTAAATTAAAGAAGTCACTATATGGTCTGAAGCAAGCTCCCAGAGCTTGGTATGAAAGACTAAGGAACTTTCTGTTAGAAAATGAATTCACCGGAGGGAAGGTGGACACTACCTTATTCTGTAAGTTAGTTAAGAATGACATCTTAGTTTGTCAAATTTATGTTGATGATATTATTTTTGGTTCTACTAATCCTTCTCTTGGAAGAAAATTTGCTAAGTGTATGCAGGCAGAATTTGAGATGAGCCTCATGGGGGAACTGAAATTCTTTCTAGGCATTCAGCTCAATCAAACCCCAGAGGGAACTTACATTCATCAGAGCAAATACAACAGAGATCTTCTAAAGAAATTTGACCTCTCTGAATGTAAGCCATCAAAGATTCCAATGCATCCCACGTGCATTCTAGAAAGAGAAGAGGTAAGAAAAAAGGTAGAATAGAAAGTCTACAGAGGTATGATTGGTTCTCTCCTTTATCTGACAGCTTTAAGACCTGATATATTATTCAGTGTATGTATTTGTGCTAGATTCCAATCAGATCCTAGTGAATCTCACTTAACAGCTGTTAAGCGAATTTTCAAGTATCTGAAAGGTACTACTAATCTGGGTTTGTTTTATAGAAAATCTAGTGATTACAGTTTAGTAGGCTACTGCGATGCTGACTTTGCTGGAGACAGAGTAGAGCGTAAAAGTACTTCTAGAAGCTCCCAGTTTCTGGGAGAAAATCTTATCTCTTGGTCCAACAAAAGGCAATCCACAATTGCGCTATCAACAGGTTTGTTGGACCAACATTCCCAATGTTAGTCAAGGAGTTTTGGATTCATGCAACTGCTTCAACGCATCAAGTCACCTCCTACAAAATGGGGAAGAAGATTGTGATCACTGAGGATCACATAGCAAAGTTGATTGGTTACAGTGGCGGTGGCGTCCGCTGTATTGATATGGCTGAAAGATGCTCTGACGTGGGTGTCATAGCAGAAAGGATTTTCACCCATGGGGTGCCCAGCAGCAAGATCAGAGATCTCAAGGATCACCACAGAGTTTGGGCGAAGATAATTCAGGGGTGTTTTAATCATAGGAAGCCAACCAGTTCCCCTGATTACATAAATATAGATCAGCAGTTTCTGATCTATTTTATCAATCAGAAGGTAAAAATCAACTTGGCTCATCTTCTGTTTAATCACCTCAGAACAAGCGTGAAGGAAACCAGGGAAGAAGAAAGAACAAAGAGGGATTGGATACCCTTTGGAAGGTTAATATCAGATATTCTGACTGAGAATAGGCTGATAGAGCACCTGATAGAAGCTCAAGAGTTAAGCACCATTGAACCAACGGTTGGGAAGCCTATGAACACGAAGAATCTGAAAAAAATGAAGTTAATAGAGAATATCATAAAGGAACCCAGCGTTACTCCTATTGCTGACATCACCAGCAGAAGAGTCCCATTGAGTGACTTTCCTTTATTTTCTGAGATAGAATCTAAACCAGTGGTGGTTCTCAGATACCTAGACGCGTGCAAGGCTGATGGTACAGATCCCAAGTTGAATATCAAAGATCTGCACCAACCTCAACCAGAAGTTACACTGAAGAAGACGAAGAAAAGGAAGGCCCCTTCAGAAGGAACATCCCAGCAGACACCCAAGAAAAGAGGTAATTTATCTGCTGCTTCTGTTTTAAATTCTTCTGCTATTCCAACATCAATTCCCACTCCAGCTTCTCCTGCAATCCCAATCCCCATCCCAACAATAGATGAAACCGAACCAGAAGATGACCCTTCCGAGGCACTACAACTCAGAAGACCCCGCACCAAACATCCCAAACCAACAATTTCAACAACATCAGCACTTGACAAAGTCCTGTCTGACATTAATCAACGTGCTTCTGATAACCTTCCAAACAATCCAAACACTGAACCAGATATTGCCACATCTCCTCAACCAGAAGAACCTCTCTCACCCATTCCAGAAGAACCACATATTCCTGAACAACTAGAAATTCCTCCTCCTTCTCCACAACCAGCAATTCCTTCTCCCTCTCCTCAACCAGAAATTCATCCACCATCACCTCAACCATCACCTCAACCTGAGTTTCATCATTCTGAAACTCCATCTCCTCCACCTTCTGAACCTCATTCACCTCAACTCTGAGCCACAACCTTTGGCAATCCAGCTGCCATGTGGAACAACAGTAACAATGGCCCAGCTGCCATCCTCACCTGAAACCACACCACCAAATACTCCCAAAACCCCAAATAGTCCAATCATTATTTCTGATTCTCCCACTCCATCTCCCAAACAAACAACTCCCAAGCAAACCATAGAAGACCCTAGCAGGACCTTCATAGATTTAACTATCCTTGACCGTCTTGCTGATCTGAATAATAAAATAGCCATTCCAAAACCAAAACAGCCAGATGTTGGCTCTGGCATTATGAATTTTGAAACAGGTTTGCAGCAGTGGATTGCTTCTCTGAAGCAAGTCTGTCCTGGAATGATTGATCCAGCTGCCTCTGACCAGCTCTGGTCACAATTCAGAATTTTGGTACGTGCTGAAGCTCTAAAATTGCAAGACATCAATTATGAGCAAGCACAATAGAATTTCAGCAAGCTTCTGAACGAAGTAGGAAGTCAGCTGCTGAAAGAAGACGTGCTCCTTCTGGATAGTGAGCCATGGTCTGAGAAGCGTCCAGCACCAATAGTGCAGCAAGAAGATCAGACTATTCAAGCTGAAGCCAGTCAAGCTGAAGATGTTGCAGAAAGCTCTCAGAAGCTCCCTGCTTCTGATGTTTCTCAAGCTGCCTTGGACAGGCAGACTCTAGAAGAGTTGAAGCTGAATGATATCCGTCTGCAGCAAAGGATGGATGAAAATGACCAGAAGATGAAAGAAAGGATGGATGTGAAGGATAGCAAGATAGACACAGTAGTCAGCATGGTGCACAAGCAGAATGAGACTGCTGATCAGATTAAGGCAATGCTGGAGACTCTGTTCACACGCCTTCCTCCCCAACCTTAGATTTTCATTCATGCCATTTTCATGTTTTCTTTGCATATCTTCTGTACTATTTTGTCTGGCTCTGACTATTTTAATATGACAAGTTTTTCTGATCTAAATGTTTTAGCACATCACTTACACTTTTTGATTGCTGACAAAAAAGGGGAGAACAAGAATGATATTTTTCAAATACGGATTACTAAGACAGAAAATATCAAACATTCTAACTCTGATATACTTGAATATGTTTTCTGTTTTTGCTTAAGTCTACAGGTACAAAAATGCTCTCTGATATTCTGAAGACTAAAGCTCTGATACTCTGACCCAAAGATCTGCTCTAATATTCTGATCTAAAGCTTCTGATAGTCAAAGCTCTGATATTATGATGTTCAAAGAAAGGCAATAAAGATCTGATCCTGAAGAACTCTTGGAATTAAAAAGGGAAGCAATAAATTCAGGGGGAGTATCTCTCAACTCTGATATCTCTTTATCCCTTATATTTGATAACTCCTTACTCTGATACATCTTATCATTTAGTTATCTCTAATACTTTTTCACGTTATTTTCAATTAAAAATATCTAGTTTTTGTCATCATCAAAAAGGGGTAGTCTGTGTTAGAACAAAGATTGAATGTACTACCCTAAGTTTAAGTTTTGATGATAACAAAATGAAAGGATATATTAATTATGTGATTCATATAAGAACTATTTGCTACCTAAAATATTACCTTCTGTTTTGCAGAAACTCTGATAGGTATCAGCAAAAGTACATCTTAATCAGCATCAAAATATTGGTTATCAACGTCAGCATCAGAAGATGCCATATCAGAATACCAGAATCAGAAGAACGATTCACGCGTATGCTGAAGCTTGATAAACAGAACTGCGCTCAACACTCTGATAAAGACAACAACAGTTCATCATCACTTAAGCAGAGTCAGAATGAGCCAAAGCCAGAACACGCTTTAAGTAGCAACGGTACTGTGTATTCAAAGCAAATTATTACCAACGACATCATTCCAGACAAGATCTGCTTAATAAGGAAAGTTTTTTATTGGCATTGAATCAAGAATATTTCTCCAACGATCAACAAATTCAGTGCTATATAAACAACACAATGAAGATTGAATTGGCTAATGCTCTACATCATATTACACGCCTAAAAGCTAATCATCATCTTCCTTCTCTCAGTTTGCTAAACGCTTCATATTTACTTACTCAGTATTTTAGCAATCTAGTTTCAATAAGCTTAAGTTGTCTAATATCACAGTTGTGATAAACAGTTTTGTAGAAAACATTCACACACCTATTTCTCTTCTTTGTAAGAAAGTGTTTCCTTGACAAACCGGGTTGTGGTTTGCATCAAGAAGGCTTTAGCAGTTGTTAAAGCAGATTGTAATATTCAGTTGAATATAGTGGATTAAGACCTCGTTGGAGAGAGGAGAAATCACCTTAACGGGTGGACTGGAGTAGTTTGAGATCAAACGAACCAGGATAAAAATATTGTGTTCATTGCAATTGATTTTCAGTTTTAAAATTCAACCCCCCTTGTTGTGTTTTTCACTTCTTCAATTGGCATTAGAGCGCCTGGTTCTGAGCTAAAACACTTAACCGTGTTAGTACAAGATCCAGCGTCAGAAAAATACAATGGCAGGAAATTATTCTCACACTAGCGATGACAACCATGAGGACAGAGACAGATTCAGCAGCAAACCTGCAGTCTTTGATGGAGAAAATTTTGATTAATGGAAAGACAGAATTGAAAGCTTCTTTCTGGCACATGATGCTGATCTGTGGGACATGGTGACAGATGGATACACGCACCCTGTGAATGCAAGCGGTCAGAAGATTGATAGGAAAACAATGTCTGACCAACAAAAGCGTGACTTCAAGAATCACCACAAGGCCAGAACCATCCTTCTCAGCGTCATCTCTTATGCTGCATATGAAAAGATCTCCAACCGAGACACAGCAAAGAACATGTTTGACTCACTCAGAATGACGCATGAGGGCAACGTTCAGGTCAAAGAAACTAAAGCTCTGGCGCTCATTCAGAGGTATGAGGCGTTCAAAATGGAAGAAAGTGAATTCATTGAAACAATGTTCTCAAGATTCCAGATTCTAGTAGCTGGTCTCAAGGTTCTGGACAAAGGTTACTCTACTGCTGATCACGTCAAGAAAATCATCAGAAGCTTACCCAAGCAGTGGAGGCCAATGGTTACAGCTCTGAACCTAGCAAAAGATCTCAACAAAATTTCTCTAGAGGAACTTATCAGCTCCCTCAGAAGTCATGAGATAGAGCTAGAAGCTGAAGAACCCCAGAAGCAAGGTAAGCCTTTAGCATTAAAATCTAACAAAAAATCTGAGTCTAAAGGTTTGCAGGCAGTTGAAGAAACATCTGATGGATCCTCAATAGAAGAAGACGAACTCCCCCTCCTCTCCAGAAGAGTGAATCAACTGTGGAAGCAGAGGCAAAGAAAGTTCAGGAATCCCAGAAGATCTGATCAGAACGAGCCTTCTTCTAGATATAGAAGGACAGATTCTTCTTCTGGATACAGAAGATCTGAAGGCTCCTCAGGAAGCAGAAAGCCAAACACCAAGGACATCATCTGCTATGAGTGCATTGAGCAAGGACACTACAAGAGTGACTGGCCAAAGCTTCAGAGGGAAAAGCCCAAAAAGAAGTTTGGAAGAGAAAAGAAGAAAAGTCTCATGGCTACATGGGATGACTCTGACACGTCTGAAGCTGACTCAGAATCAGATGATGAGAGAGCAAACATAGCTCTCATGGCCAACATTTCAGAAGATAGTGAAGCTTCTGAATCAGACTCAGAATCAGATACTGAAGAGGTATTTCCTGACTTTGCTGTTAATTTTACCAAGGCTGAACTTGCTGAAAGCCTTAATGAAATTCTAGAAAGGTATCAGCAGATTAGAGTTAAATTCAGAGACCTGAAAAGGAATCTTGAATCTGACTCTAATAAGACTGAGAGTCTTAAATTGGAGAATTCTGAGCTAAGAATTAAAATTTCAAATTTAGAAAATACTTTACAAAACTCTCATAAGGAACCAATTTCTGAAACTCCCAGCAACGCTGATGAGATCATCAAGGAGTATGATCACAGTTTCCAGAAGTTCCTTGCTAAAAGCATAGATATAAGCAAAATGGCTCCAATGGATGGTTGCCTTGTCATTATGGAATTTAGTGTGTTGTCGATATTTTTGTTTCTGCAATGGATGGTAGCCTTGTCATTATGGAAGGTAGTCCGTTGTCAAGAATTTTCTTACTCCAATGGATGGTAGCCTTCTCATTATGGAAGGTAGTTTGTTGTCGAGATTTTTTTTATTTCGTTGGATTGTAGCCTTGTCATTATGGAAGGTAGTGTGTTGTCGAGATTTTTGTTATTCAAATGGATGGTAACCTTGTCATTATGGAAGGTAGTCTGTTGTCGAGTATTTGTTACTCCAATGGATGGTAGCCTTGTAATTACGGAAGGTAGTTTGTTGTTGAGATTTTTGTTACTCGAATGGATGGTAGCCTTGTCATTACGGAAGGTAGTCACTTGTTGATATTTTTGTTACTAAAATGGATGGTAGCCCTGTCATTATTGAAGGTAGTCTGTTGTCGAGATTTTTGTTACTCCAATGGATGGTAGCCTTGTAATTATGGAAGGTAGTCTATTGTCGATATTTTTGTTACTCCAATGGATATTAACCTTGTCATTATGAAAGGTAGTCTATTGTTGAGTTTTTTGTTATTCCAATGGATGGTAACCTTTTCATTATGGAAGGTAGTTTGTTGTCGAGATTTTTGTTATTTCGTTGGATGTTAGCCTTGTCATTATGGAAAGTAGTTTGTTGTCGGTATCTTTTTTATTCCAATGGATGGTAACCTTGTCATTATGGAAGGTAGTCTGTTGTCGAGATTTTTGTTATTCCAATGGATGGTAACCTTCTCATTATGGAAGGTAGTCTGTTGTGGAGTTTTTGTTACTCCAATGGATGGTAGCCTTGTAATTATGGAAGGTAGTCTGTTGTCGATATTTTGGTTACTCCAATGGATGGTAGCCTTGTCATTATGGAAGGTAGTCTGTTGCTCATATTTTTTTTACTCTAATGGATGGTAGCCTTACCTTTATGGAAGGTAGTCTGTTGTTCAGATTTTTGTTATTCCATTGGATGGTAGCTTTGTCATTATGGTAGGTAGTTTGTTGTCAATATTTTTTATAGTCTAATGGATGGTAGCCTTTTCATTATGGAAGGTAGTTTGTTGTCGAGATATTTGTTACTCCAATGGATGGTAACCTTCTCATTATGGAAGGTAGTCTGTAGTCGAGATTTTTGTTATTTCGTTGGATGGTAGCCTTGTCATTATGGAAGGTAGTCTATTGTCGAGATTTTTGTTATTCCAATGGATGGTAACCTTGTCATTATGGAAGGTAGTCTGTTGTCGAGTTTTTGTTACTCCAATGGATTGTAGCCTTTTAATTATGGAAGGTAGTCTGTTGTCGATATTTTTGTTACTCCAATGGATGTTAACCTTGTCATTATGGAAGGTAGTCTATTGTCGAGTTTTTTGTTATTCCAATGGATGGTAACCTTGTCATTATGGAAGGTAGTTTGTTGTCGAGATTTTTGTCATTTCGTTGGATGTTAGCCTTGCCATTATGGAAAGTAGTCTGTTGTCGAGATTTTTGTTATTCCAATGGATAGCAACCTTGTCATTATGGAAGGTAGTTTGTTGTCGAGATTTTTGTTATTCCAATGGATGGTAACCTTCTCATTATGGAAGGTAGTCTGCTGTCGAGTTTTTGTTACTCCAATGGATATTAGCCTTGTAATTATGGAAGGTAGTCTATTGTCGATATTTTTGTTACTTCAATGGATGGTAACCTTGACATTATGGAAGGTAGTTTGTTGTCGAGTTTTTTTTATTCCAATGGATGGTAGCCTTGTCAATATGGAAGGTAGTCTGTTGTAGAAATTTTTGTTATTTTGTTGGATGGTAGCCTTGTCATTATGGAATGTAGTCTGTTGTCGAGATTTTTGTTATTACAATGGATGGTAACCAGGTAATTATGGAAGGTAGTCTGTTGTCGAGATTTTTGTTATTCCAATGGATGGTAACCTTCTCATTATGGAAGGTAGTCTGTTGTGGAGTTTTTGTTACTCCAATGGATAGTAGCCTTGTAATTATGGAAGGTAGTCTGTTGTCGATATTTTGGTTACTCCAATGGATGGTAGCCTTGTCATTATGGAAGGTAGTCTTTTGTCGAGATATTTGTTACTCCAATGGATGGTAGCGTTGTAATTATGGAAGTTAGTCTGTTGTCTAGATTTTTCTTACTCAAATGGATGGTAGCGTTGTCATTATGGAAGGTAGTCCGTTGTTCAGATTTTTGTTACTCCAATGGATGGTAGCCTTACCTTTATGGAAGGTAGTCTATTGTAGAGATTTTTGTTATTTCAATGTATGGTAGTATTGTCATTATGGAAGGTAGTTTGTTGTCGATATTTTTGTTAGTCTAATGGATGGTAGCCTTTTCATTATGGAAGGTAGTTTGTTGTCGAGATATTTGTTACTCCAATAGATGGTAGCCTTCTCATTATGGAAGGTAGTCTGTTGTCGAGATTTTTCGTATTTCGTTGGATGGTAGCCTTGTCATTATGGAAGGTAGTCTGTTGTCGAGATTTTTGTTTATCCAATGGATGGTAACCTTATCATTATAGAAGGTAGTCTGTTGTCGAGTTTTTGTTACTCCAATGGATGGTAGCCTTGTAATTATGGAAGGTAGTCTGTTGTCGATATTTTTGTTACTCCAATGGATGTTAAGCTTATCATTATGGAAGGTAGTATGTTGTCGAGTTTTTTTTTTATTCCAAAGGATAGTAACCTTGTCATTATGGAAGGTAGTTTGTTGTCAAGATTTTTGTCATTTGGTTGGATGTTAGGCTTGTCATTATGGAAAGTAGTCTGTTGTCGAGATTTTTGTTATTCCAATGGATGGTAACCTTGTCATTATGGAAGGTAGTTTGTTGTTGATATTTTTGTTATTCCAATGGATGGTAACCTTCTCATTACAGAAGGTAGTCTGCTGTCGAGTTTTTGTTACTCCAATGGATATTAGCCTTGTAATTATGGAAGGTAGTCTATTGTCGATATTTTTGTTACTTCAATGGATGGTAACCTTGACATTATGGAAGGTAGTTTGTTGTCGAGTTTTTTTTTATTCCAATGGATGGTAGCCTTCTCATTATGGAAGGTAGTTTGTTGTCGAAATTTTTTTTATTTCGTTGGATGGTAGCCTTGTCAATATGGAAGGTAGTTTGTTGTCGAGATTTTTGTTATTACAATGGATGGTAACCTGGTAATTATGGAAGGTAGTCTATTGTCGAGATTTTTGTTATTTCGTTTGATGGTAGCCTTATCATTATGGAAGGTAGTTTGTTGTCAAGATTTTTGTTATTCCAATGGATGGTATCCTTGTCATTATGGAAGGTAGTTTGTTGTCGATATTTTTGATACTCCAATTGATGGTAGCCTTGTCATTATGGAAGGTAGTTTGTTATCGAGATTTTTGTTACCCCAATGGATGTGAGCCTTGTCATTATAGAAGGTAGACTGTTGTCGATATTTTGGTTACTCCAATGGATGGTAGCCTTGTCATTATGGAAGGTAGTCTTTTGTCGAGATATTTGTTACTCCAATGGATGGTAGCCTTGTAATTATGGAAGTTAGTTTGTTGTCGAGATTTTTCTTACTCCAATGGATGGTAGCCTTGTCATTATGAAAGGTAGTCTTTCATTGAGATTTTTGTTACTCCAATGGATGGTAGCCTTGTCATTATGGAAGGTAGTCTGTTGTCGAGAATTTTGTTACTTTAATGGATGGTAGCCTTCTCATTATGGAAGGTAGTCTGTTATCGATATTTTTGTTATTTTGTTGGATGGTAGCCTTGTCATTATGGAAGGTAGTGTGTTGTCGAGAATTTTTCTACTCCAATGGATGATAGCCATCTCATTATGGAATGTAGTCTGTTGTCGAGATTTTTGTTATTTCGTTGGATGGTAGCCTTGTCATTATGGAAGGTAGTCTATTGTTGGGTATTTGTTACTCCAATGGATGGTAGCCTTGAAATTATGGAAGGTAGTCTGTTGTCGAGATTTTTGTTACTCCAAAGGATGGTAGCCTTATCATTACGGAAGGTAGTCACTTGTTGATATTTTTGTTACTAAAATGGATGGTAGCCTTGTCATTTTGGAAGGTATTATGTTGTCGAGATTTTTGTTATTCCAATGGATGGTAGCCTTGTCATTATGGAAGGTAGTCTGTTGTCGAAATTTTTTTTATTTCGTTGGATTGTAGCCTTGTCATTATGGAAGGAAGTCTGTTGTCGAGATTTTTTGTTACTCCAATGGATGGTAGCCTTATCATTATGAAATTTAGTGTGTTGTCGATATTTTTGTTTCTGCAATGGATGGTAGCCTTGTCATTATGGAAGGTAGTCCGTTGTCAAGAATTTTCTTACTCCAATGGATGGTAGCCTTCTCATTATGGAAGGTAGTTTGTTGTCGAGATTTTTTTTATTTCGTTGGATTGTAGCCTTGTCATTATGGAAGGTAGTGTGTTGTCGAGATTTTTGTTATTCAAATGGATGGTAACCTTGTCATTATGGAAGGTAGTCTGTTGTCGAGTATTTGTTACTCCAATGGATGGTAGCCTTGTAATTACGGAAGGTAGTTTGTTGTTGAGATTTTTGTTACTCGAATGGATGGTAGCCTTGTCATTACGGAAGGTAGTCACTTGTTGATATTTTTGTTACTAAAATGGATGGTAGCCCTGTCATTATTGAAGGTAGTCTGTTGTCGAGATTTTTGTTACTCCAATGGATGGTAGCCTTGTAATTATGGAAGGTAGTCTATTGTCGATATTTTTGTTACTCCAATGGATATTAACCTTGTCATTATGAAAGGTAGTCTATTGTTGAGTTTTTTGTTATTCCAATGGATGGTAACCTTTTCATTATGGAAGGTAGTTTGTTGTCGAGATTTTTGTTATTTCGTTGGATGTTAGCCTTGTCATTATGGAAAGTAGTTTGTTGTCGGTATCTTTTTTATTCCAATGGATGGTAACCTTGTCATTATGGAAGGTAGTCTGTTGTCGAGATTTTTGTTATTCCAATGGATGGTAACCTTCTCATTATGGAAGGTAGTCTGTTGTGGAGTTTTTGTTACTCCAATGGATGGTAGCCTTGTAATTATGGAAGGTAGTCTGTTGTCGATATTTTGGTTACTCCAATGGA